ATCTATCTTATTTTGTCTTATTTATGGCCTTACAAAGTAAGTAGAAGCTTACTTTACAAAAAGGTGGCATTTATACCTTTAGATTTATTTCCTTTTGGACTATTGTTTATTTTCTTAGATAATTTGTTATAATATTTGAAATAAGATCTTCTATAATATAATAATTTTTTCACCTTTTTCACATATTAGTCATATTATACCATGACACCATGCTTTCTTTATAACTTGAGGTTGTGGTTTCTCTTTTTCCTTCTCCTAAAAATATGCCACCAGTGAGTGTCACTTTGTTGACTCCTCACTATTTACTACCAACAAACAATATGCCACTCTCCTCTTCTGTTTGCCAAATTACCTAGATACATTTCTATTGTGGTTCCTATTATGGGATCTCCTTGATGATATGTAGATGCTCGATTTGGACTCAAAATAATGACTCATGTTGGGCAACATTCTCAACTTTTGTAAAGTTTTCATCCTTGCTTTCTTTCTAGTGCAATTGTTGACACCTCTGCCAAGCTCAAAAACATCCCTTCATTCACCTCAATACTACAATTCTATGCCAAATCTCTTCTTACATTACAAAAGAAGTGTGCTCTATTAGAGACATTGTAGAAAATTATAAAATTAAAGTTTTGTCCTCTTGACAACTACCTAAATTTTCTTTTGTAGTAAAATTTGTCCTATATTCTTTCATCCATGTTTCTCTTGAATTCTTTGCATACAAATAAGCCTTCTCTTTGCTCAAAGATACTCAATGGCAAGCTACCATTTTAGAAGAGTTAAACTTTCTCATGGCCAATGGTACTTGGATTTTTACAAAGCTTCCATCTCATCGACGCCCAATTACTTGCAAGTGAATTTTTAAGATGTAACTGAAAATCAATGGCTATATTGATTGATTTAAGACTCAATTTATAGCTTGGAAATTCAATCAAATCTTAGATCTCAATTATAACAAGACTTTCTTCCCAATTGTTTAAATCTAGTCCATTTGCTTGATATTTGCTCTAGCACTGTAACAAAATTTACATGTTCATCAAATGGATGTAAAAATTATATTTTTCTTAATAGAATCTTCTGTTAAGAAATATACATAGAAGTTCTAAATGGAGTAATACCTCTATGTCTTAGGCTTATTTGCCAACTTCATAAAACTCTATATGGCTTGAAACAATCCCCCTAAAAATAGTTTCAGGTCATTGATTCATACCTTGTTACTCTCAGCTTTATCAACTCTATAATTAATCAAAATGTCTACCATCTTAATTGCATCTTAGATTTTTTCATACTCACCCTATATGTTGATGATATCATGCTTGTAAGTAACAGCCTTATCCTACTTCAAGATGTCAAAAAATAACTTTATTTTTAATTTTTGTTGTCCAACCTTGGTATACTATACTACATTCTGAGCATCCAGATGATGTATGATGTATAACATGGATGGCTCCATGGATCTCAAAATGTCTACTTAAAACAAAAACTTATTAAATATGATTTTTTAGAATCTTGCCTAGTCTCAACTCTTCTCATATCTAACATAAAACTTTCAGCATATGACTATCCTTTCATTCTAGTTACTAATCTTATATCCAAGGTATTTTTGTATGCAAACGTAATTAGCTTTTTCAATTGAGCCAATATTTGCACGTACCTAAACATCGCCTTTGGAATGAATATTTTGATCTATACACAATACTGAGGCCAAACATATCCTTGTTTATAAACATGCCTTCAAATACATCTGCAACACTCTTGAGTATTTTTTAAAATATCATTGAAGCTTACAACTACCACAACCCATGTATGGATTCAGCAATACGAACTAAGTTGGCAAGATAGATGAACATTATCTCACCTCAAGCTATATCTTCTTACTGTCCTAAAGAACCATTAGTTGATGTTCAACATGCTAGCAATCCATTGTCTTGTCTAATACGGAGGCGGTGTCATAATACATGAAGTCTTGCTTAAGAATGCTTTGAGCACTTAGTTGTGGAAAGGTAGAATGGAAATCGCTACAAAAAAATCTTAATTCTAATAGAATACTAACAATGCTAAATAAGCTTTAATCAAATTTAGAGAAACCTCAAAGAAATTACAAAGAAATAATAAAAAATCTTAAAGAAATATTTGAATAATTACAAACATATCTCAAATATATCTCAATTCAATCTTAATTTAATCTTAATTGAAATCCTATTGGACTTCATTCAAACTTTAGACCAAAAACTAACTAAATCTTAAATCCTAAATAAACTCAAATAAAATCTTAAACCCTAAATCAAATCCTGACACAATCCTAATTAAATCCTAAATCCTAAATCAAATCCTAAACCTTAAATCAAATCCTAACCAAATCCTAAATCAAATCCTAATCAAATCCTAAATCAAATCCTAACCAAATCCTAAATCAAATCCTAACCAAATCCTAAAAAAATCCTAAATCCAAAATCAAATCCTAATCTTAAATCAAATCCTAACCAAATCCTAATCTTAAAACAAATCGTAACCAAATCCTAAACCAAATCCTAGTAATTCCTACAACAAATTTAAACTTCAATTATTAATGAATGAACCATTGATCTTAACTCAAAATTTGCATGCTTCCTAAAAATTAAGTTGAAAATAAGCACAAAAAATTTGAAAAGGATCGAAATTACCAAATAGACGATAGCCTCAAAAACATACTTGGATTTTGGCGAGCCTCCTTGTCTGACCTTGATGCCAATCTCCTAGAGCCAAAATCTCTCTTTTCACTATTTGATTGATCTCAAAATTCTCATACACATAGAAAAATAAGTCTAATATCCTCACACACAAATTTCACTCCAATCCATCTAGTAAATTACAAAAAAGCTTAAAAATCCTCACTAGACCAAAAAATCTACTTTTTGAGACCTTGACCTACTTAAACCTAAATAACCTTCAATTCAACCATTAGATCGAGCTAAGATTCACAACACATATTAAGCACAACTATGACCATTAATCTACAAATTTTCACTTATAGATCTATTACAAAACTCTTGAAATCATTAGAAATATCAATCCTATTTCATTTCACAAAATCCAAGTCATCCAAAAACAATCTTAACTTTGTAAAGCTCTTACAAAGTTATAACAAATCCAAATCACCCAAAATCAATGCTCATAAAAACCTTATCCAGTTTGCTATCAAACTCTACTCTTCGATCTACAAAAAAAACCTCCTAATTGCCATAGGTGCTTGGTTTTGTACCTCAAGGTCTGATTTCGACCTAGGTTGATAACCGGCCCTCCTTGGGTATCAATATCTAGTTTTTCCAGGTAATTTTTACTGGAATTTACTCTTAACTTCTTCTTAAAGATGCCTATATCATTTATTTTTTCAATCTATCTTATTTTGCCTTATTTTTGGCTCTACAAAGTAAGTAGAAGCTATTTTTTTTAAAAGGACAGTATTACTACTAAAAGTTTTACTACCTTCTTATCTTTTATCCATATTTTTCTACTTTATCTTTTAACTTGGCTCTTCTATAATAAGATCCATATTATTATCTTTCACCATATAGTTGTGTTACAACACGACAGCGAAATATATGGCCATGGCTATTGACACCTCCAAGGCCATATAGCTGTGACATCTTCTTCATGACCTATACCATACTACTAGTCTTTGCAAAGCCATCTTTATTCACTGTAATAACTAGTCGGTACTAGCATTAGTTGATACAAGCAAGTTCTATTTAAGAACAAAATACATTGCAATACAATATCACATCATTCAACAATTGGCCACATAGAAGAAACTTTGGTTCAATTATTATCCTACTAAAGAAATATGCATTGACATCTTTATCAAACCCTACCAATTCCAAAGTTTGCCCTTCACCTCTTGTTGATTGACATTTTTGGAGGAGAATCCGACCTATATTAAAACCACAATCTAACTATAAAGGCATATTAGAAAATAAAATAGTTATAAATAATCAAATTGTGATGTCAAAGACTCGCACTCTTTCAAGAAGATGCAACCTTTTAGGTTGTTCCATCCTTGACAGTACAAAATAAAAAACAAACATAAATATAATAAGAAGAAATATATTATTACTTTCTAAAATTAAACTTTTGTTACTCTAATCCTAATACTTAAAGTTTTAATAATATAAATATATATATATATATATATTTATTTATTTATATATATTTATTTATTTATAATAGAACTTGATGTTGCAATCTAAACTAGAAATACAAATTGATTTGTGCGGCATATATGACACTTTAAAAGTTTCAAAGCCAAGTGCATATAGCACTTTTGATTGCTTGCAAACTTAGATTTATTTTATGATTGACTTTGAGATGAAGGTAGGATTTGTTTCGATTGCAAATGATAATAAATCCTTTTCATTTGTGAACAACTTCAAGAAGATGCACATGGTTGTTTTCTGTCAGTGTTTGTAATTCTTTAACCTTCAAAATAAAAAACTTGAAAATCAAGTGAAATGGTAATCATTGTCATTATTGTGACAAGAAGCTAGAAAAGTATATCAACTCAAAAAGTGAATAAGTGATGTAGGACAAGGAATATATAAGAAGATAAGCTTGCTTTGGAGTACTTTTATTGAAGACTCTTTGATGGTGATTTTGAATCATTAAATCAACCTATAATGAACATAGTGTGTTTAAATCAAGAGTATATTAGTCTTATACTAGGTTTTGATAAAAATGATACAAGTTTGTTCTTATAAAGTAAGCACAATAATATTTTTGAATTGAAAAGATTTACAATCTAAAATTTATCTTGTCATTAATATTTTTTGTTTGTTTGTTTGCTTCTTCTTTTTTTTTTTTTGTCATATTATTCTCAAATATTATTCTTTAATATAGAAGTAATAACTTGATACTAATGTTTTCAAATAAGTATATTATAAAGAAAATATCATACACACCCCTGAAATATGCTAAAATATCAAGAATATCCTTGTATTCTTGATAATAGCAAATATTTCCTTCACTGTTGAGATAATTGCAAATCTACCCTTGTATTTGATAAGGTATTACATTTTTCATTTTGGATGAATCCAATTCCCGAACCGTCTGCCACTCAGATTTAGGCATTGCACTTTTTTGCACAAGTGGCCCCACAATGTGAGATAACAAGTTTTCTATTTAGAGCACACATAGTAGCAGGTTGCACAGGTCATTCGGCAACCGGCAACCGACGATCCGATCTACAACGCCATCTACTTAATCAGAATCGGGGGAACGATTACATCAACAATTACCTAGCGCGCGCAACAAATATCAAGTACATTTTTACACCCCGCAGCAGTACCAAGATCTTCTCATCAAAACCTTACATGAGCCAGCTCATGTTAGGCGCAACTCGATTCAATTCCATACAAGCTTCTGGAACGTGAATTGGGGAATTTCTTGACTCAATAATTTGCAGTCCACAATTTTTAATTGGATTAACGTCGCTATTGCAGACTAGCTACGATTTGGAGATGCGGAAGTTCATTATCTCCAACATTGGTCTCATTGGGTGTGCATCTTCAGTCCTGTCGCAGAGGAGCAAGACGGGGGAATGCACCGAAGAGGTGAACAATTACGCCATAGGATTCAATGTCGCCTTGAAGCCCAGGCTGGAGAGTCTGGGAGCCGAACTTTCCAACTCCATCTTCCTCTACACTAATGCTTACGACGTCCTTAAAGCCATCATCGATAAACCCTTGCAACACGATAAATCCAAAAAATTCAAAACTGGTTTGGCCCCCGACAAGCAATTCCCAGACTCTCCTCCACGAACTCCCACACAACCAACCATCATCCATCATTGTTTCGCTTTCCGTGTGCAGGATTCACAGATCTTGTGTCCACTGCTTGCTGCGGCGTGGGCAGATACAACGGCATCGACGGGGCGTGCAGCACCATTTCACGATTGTGCCCCGACAGAACTAAGTCGATGTTCGGGGACGATTTCCACCCGACGGAGAAGGTGAACAAGATCTGCAACAATCAGTTCATTTTCGGCGGCCTGCACGCCATCTGCTCCATGAATGTGAAGTAGCTGCTGGCCGTGTGACACGGAGCCCACAAACACGACCTACTGCAGGAATAGAGGCTAGGATCGATCAGCACATGGTACATCACCGATTGAGCAGTTCTAGATTGTGGGGCCCACATCGCTAGCTGGTGGTGCCGTCATCTTGCATCGCTGGGTGCAGCGTTACCTTTCCTCACCACCACCAATAAGCTACCATAGTGTGCATGGCCTTGTGGGAATGAAATTCCTTCCATACAGCTTCACATGTTGCCTCCTAGGCAAGCTCATTTGCGATAAAACGATACGAAAGCAGCCTTCGTTGTGTGAAATTTCAACTCTCGTTATGTTACAGAACAGTCAGGGTGGAGAAGATAATTTAGTTCATGGTTTGAATGAAATTCAGTCTGGGAGTACTGTTTCAATATGGGTGAGACCCATGATTGATGCGTACTTGCAGCAGAGTGATAACTTATCCAGTTTACCACAATTCAGAATTTATTAATACATCACAATGAAGGATTTATTGACATGCAGGCGTCCGGTTGCCCAATGATGTGTGCAATCTGCTTCTTTGTCTGCTCCAAATAGAAAAATTGTTGTCATTTGTGCAAAAAAGTGCAATGCCTAAATTTGCACAGCATGCGGTTTGGGCCTTGGATTCATCCAAAATGGAAATAAGGTAATACTCTATCAAGTTCAAGGATAGATTTGCAATTATCACAAAAGTGGGGTATATTTGCTGTCATCAAGAATACAAAGGTATTCTTGATAGTTCAACATACTTTAGGGATATATGTGATATTTTTCCTATATTATAATGTTATATACTTATAGTTTTTTTATTCAAATAGCAATAAGAATAAAAATAGTACAACACTTTATACATGTTTCTATAAGATAAGATTTAATAGGAGTCTTAAAAAGATCCAAAATCCACAAGTTATTTTGGGAAGCACACTTGCAACCAAAAGTCATTTTGTTATAAGATCATTATTAAAATATTGATGATTGCATCTAATAAATAAACTAATGACAATTCAAAGGAAGCAAAAGTTTTTAGAACAATGCCACCTTTACAACAACAAGAGATTGATTCTTAAGAGTCATGCTTATTTCTATCTTGCACTAGTTGATACTTCACATCTTCTCATACAAAGTCATCATTGAATCCAAAGTTTAATTCTTGACTCTAAAAATTAATGATTGCTCCATTGGTATATTCAACTTTTAGATACCAAATTATACAAACTAGTTTGCTCAATTTTAAAATATTCTTTTTCACCACTCATTTCCTTCTATCTTTTGGATAATAGTAGGAGATTTCAATAAGATTAAAGTTCACTTGGATTGCAGTTTTAGATTCAACATTCCAAAAATGAGATAAAGAAAGCAAATCTTATGGACCAACTTTACATTCAAGCTTGGCCTTGCAAACATATTCTACATAGATACATATAAGCAAGTTAAGTAAAAATGCTTTATGTGGCAAGGTTAAAATCCGATGCATAGTTGATTTAAGATAGATGACTTTTACATCAATTAAGATCTTTACTATCTCAAAGACATCGACTACATCTAGCTTCAAAACTTATATATATTAAATCATTTCACTACTTTTCTATCAACATATTTCACATCAATCCGCCACAAACAACAACTTCACTTTGATAAAAAAATATATATTCAACCTCAAAGTCAAATAGAGGTTTGCAAAAGCATAGCAAGATGCTATAAACAATGTCACCTTAGATACCCTAGAGAACAAAACTATCACAACAATAGAATAAGTAAGCCACATAAGCATTTCAATCAATAAAAAGAAGAAATATAAAAATTGAGTTATATATTGGGATAAATTTAGAAAAATAGAAGAATAAATAAATAAATAAATAAACAAATAAATCCACATTAAGTAGTTGGATCTTCGGATATGGAATTGACTCAATCATAAACATGCTAAGTTCAAAGAAATCAAGAGAAATAAACTTGAAATCATAATAAATATGATGGCGACTAAATAGACTTATATAGGCAATAGATATATCAAAGAATTCTTCAAATTCTACAAAGATAAATATAAATAATCTAGCATCAAGAAGCTACTTGATAATAATTGATGTTAATCATCACAAATCAATATAGCTCAATACATCTACCACATTTACAAAACATTCTATATCAATAATTATATAATGGAAAACAAGTAATTAGATTAAGATATTTACTTATTTAATATATTGATACAAATCACATACTTTCAAACCTTCTCCTTTATACTTATTATTACCATAGAAGAACTTCAATAGACTACAAAGCTTCTACCAAAATTCAAAGTGATAGTAGATGATATTATTTTTACCATATTTTTTACTAAAATAAGTAATGTTTTTTACCACAATATCACCAACATGATTAATATATCTCTCTAAGATGGCTTCTTTTATAGCTTTTATAATTAGGGCCTAATTAATTTAATTTCTAAAAAAAATTAACTTTCAATATTTATAATTATTAACTAATTAAAATACTATTAATAATCTAGAGATTGGTTTTATAAATACTAGTTAACAAATTACAGCTATTACTTTCTAATTGTATCTCGTCCATCAAAACAAGATTTATTAAAGATTAATATATACTAGACAATGTCTTCCTGGCCCAAGAATTACTCTACTAGGTCCAAGAAATCAATCAAGATCTTGTCATTATATTCTTTAATTTCAAAAAGACATATGATTGTATAAACTTGACCTTATAAAAAATAATGGCCAAATTTGGTGTCTCATTGGAATAAATTAAATAAATGACATCAATATATCAAAAAATTCATTTTGTAATGTTTATCAATAGATATAGAAGCCATGAATTCTTACTCCAATAATTTATTAGATAAGGATATTTAATAGCATCATATCTTTACTTCTTCATATCTAATATATTATCTTATATGATTAATGAACCTTGCTATATAAAAGAAGGTTATCATGAATATAGACATTTACTTCAATAATTACTTATATAATTAGGTAGAAATAGGTAAATATAGATTAATTTATAAAGTCTTTTAGTGAAGCTTCCTAGAAGCTTCATAGACGTAATTTTCATTTTAGATATGTTTGTAGGTCAAAAACTTGGCCAACAAGTTAACCACATGCTGGTAGCTTGTGGAATAAGGTAACCATGTGGCACATATATAGATGACTTGCCTTGCAAGTTAAGACATGAAGCTAGCAAAGTCAACATGTTTTGGAGGTCCTATAGGACATTGCGATATAGCTCCTAATTAAGAGTATATATAGAGGCAAGAGTGAAGCCTTCTTCACTCTTATCAATGTCGTTCTAATCTTTAGTCTTGTTTCAAGTCTTTCTAGTCTTCTTGTTTTTGGCAATAGCCATTCTAGTTAATATAACATTACCTTTTGAGTGACTTTCTAGTTTTCTTTAGTGAAATAAGAGTCTGTTGAGGATTCTCTTTTTTTGAGATTCATGTCCTTGACAATTTAACAGGAATACTAACATATTATTTTTGTCTTATTTTAGAAGTGAGTGAATTACCTCACTTCTATTGTTGTATTTTGAAGGTTGCGGACTACCCATCTTTTAAATAAAAAAATCTTATTTTCTAACATTGATCTTTCCTTAAAGAGAGTAGATTATCCTTCTTTGTGGAAATTTTTATTACAGGATGCAGATTACTCTCCTCTAATTTAACCTTTTGGATTTTTTTGAGTTGACTATAGAAGAAAAGATTATAGTTGCTACACCTAGCAGAAGTGACAATAGATTTGTAACTATTACAGATCTTTATAAGCTTGTCAACATTCTTAGAGTAGAAATCTGACATATTTCTAAAGTGAATCATAGAAGTAGTATGCCTACACCTATGGAAGAAGTTTAAAGTCTATAGCAAGAACTTGTGCAACTGAAGGAAGCAAGTAGATTAACCTTATAACCAAATTCAGAGAATTTTGCTTCTACAAGTATAATGGGGACAAGGATTAGTATGCTTGAGAAGTTTGATGGAACAAGATTAAAATTTCAAGGATTTTTGTAACAAGTCAAGCTCTATCTAAAGTTGCACCCTTCTTAATATCTTGATGGATTTACTGAAATTCGATTCATAGGCATATTTCTTTCAAGAAGTATACTTTCTTGATTTGCACCTTTAATAGAAAAAGATTTATGACTCCTTTATGATTTGAATTCATTCCTAGAAGTGTTTATGGCTACATTCGAAGAAATTGATCGAGAACAAGTAACAGAGATCAAACTCTTATCTTTACGACAAGAATCACAATTAGCCACCTTATATGCTACTGAATTCCAAAACCTTGCTTGCAATGTGGACTACAATGACAAAGCATTCATCAATCAATTTTGATATGGATTAAAAGATGGTATCAAAGATTTGTTATTAACATTGCTAAAAATAAAATCTTTGAAAAATTTATTCTTCAAACTATTGTATGCAACAATCAATTATTTGAAAGGCGTGAAGAAGAAAGACTTCGCTGGAAAAGAACAAGTCAAGTAATCATAGCAACTTTGAAGTTTTTTGAAACATATTCATCAAGGTCGGAAGTAATGCAAATTGATACAATATGTTTTAAAACTCTCATAGAGTGGGAAAAGACTTGACATTGTCGTGTTGTAATTTATTCATAGTGTAAAAATAATGGTTTATTATATTGATGTTATTTAATAATGACCTTAGAAAATAATGAGTTATTTTCTATAGAATTTCATGGTTTATAGAAATCTTAAATAACTTGTGTAAGTTTTATAAGTAAAAGTAGAAGTATTAGGATTATTTAATATAAAAAATGTAGAAAGATATGGATATTGATATTATAATATTGTGGCCTTAGGCCATCTACATGGATAGATAAGGCAAGGATAAGAGGATCTTCATTCTCATTGGCTATAGGTCATGACCAATGAGCTTCAAGGGGCTGTCCGAGAGAAAACCGAAGGGGAGGCCACTTCTTCGGGGGCGTTCGAGGGTTTAGAGGAGAGATTCAGAAAGCTTGTGTTTTGGGCTATAATTTTGGTGT